AAAAAGGCAGGAAACTATAGCAATTAGAGCAGAAATTAATGTATTGGAGACAAAGAAAACAATACAAAGAATAACTGAATGAAAGAGTTGGTTCTTTGAAAGAATAAAATAAAATTCATAAACCCCTAGCTAACCTCAAAAAAACAAAGGAAAAAACCCAAATTCATGTAATAAAGAAAAATGGTGAAATCACTATAGACCCCAGAGAAATTCAGAACATCATAAATACCTACTTCCAAGATCTTTCTTCTCACAGGATGGAAAGCACAGAAAAAAGGACAGTTTCTTAGAAACATATGAAAGGCCAAAGCTGAGTCAACAAGATATACAAATTCTGAATAACACAATGAGAAATGAAATTGAAAATGTAATTTAAAAAAAAAATACCCTACCAACAAGAAAAAGCCCAGGTCCTGATAGATTCACAGCAGAATTCCTCAAGAAATTTAGAGAAGATTCTATAACAACTTTTCTCAAACTCTTCAATGAAATTGAAAGGGAAGCAATTTTTCTACACTCCTTCATGGAACCAAGTATTACTCTGATTCCAAAACCAGAGAAAGATCCAACTAAAAAAGAGAACTATAGGCCAATCTCTCTAATGAATACAGATGCAAAAATTCTCAATAAAATACTAGCAAACAGAATGCAGCAAATCATCAAGATTATACATCATGATCAAGCTGAGATTCATTCCAAGAATTCAGAGATGGTTCAACACATCCAAATCCATAAATGTAATACACCACATCAATAGAACCAAGAACAAAAACCTCAGGTTCATCTCAACAGATGCAGAAAAAGCCTTTGACAAAGTCCAACACTCATTCATGGTAAAAACCCTACAAAGAATTGGAATAGGGGCTGGTGGGATGGCTCAGTGGTCTAAAGCACCTACTTGGAACAAGCTTGGCAAAGCATAGGGACCGCGGTTCAATCCTCCAGCACCACATGCCAGCCAGCCGCGCCCCCTGGTGGGCTGAGCTGGCCACACACACACACACA